GAAGAACGCCTGTGGTATGCTTACGCATCAAAAGAATGCACAAATTTTTGTCTGGTGACAATTTATTTACACAGGCTATTGATCCCAACACAAAACTAAACGTAAAGCCAACAGATGGGGTTGATGTGTTTCTCATACTCACATAACTTCTCTTTTCGAAGAAAATGCGAAAAAAAAGTACACGAACTGTACTTCAGCAACAGTTCTTCCCAGCTTCAATCAAATGGCACAACGCATACAGGTTTCTCAGAATTTCATTAGCCCTGGCGCTAATAATGTAAAACGTTACTAATTAAAATGGTGTAACGATATAAACAATCGGTGCAAGGGACTGGATTAGAATCTCAGGAGTTTTATTCTTAGGACTTAATGGTAAAATGAGTAGGCATAAAAAATTTGTCCAGATATTTATCTGAATGAAGAAAAAACCGTAATCCCCAGAAAGAATTTTTTTTTTCTGCATCGAGATGATGGCGAACCTATCCTGCAATCGCGGCCGATCACTGCACTTTCATCGACAATTACATTGCCCTGTATATAATCACCCTGAGCAAGCATCCACGGAAACTTGTTTCGGAGATGTTTCAAATACAAACGCATACCTATGATGAACTAAAAATAACACATAACAAAGGTGTCGAACAGTCTCCACTCATTGAGCTTTCTAACAAAAATTAATAAAAGCATAATGACGCTGGCTGGATCACAGAAACCACGGAAAGTTGGTTGTCAGATGCATCGATGGCGCAACGATAAAACAACAACAACTGATCAAAGCAGCACTGAAAGTAATTCCTGAAGGAGCAGACGGATTAGGCTAAGGGACTGAGGTTGTCATGACCAAACTGTCTACAGTCACTATTCGCAACCCGCCCCAATGAATGCTGATTTGGCCTAACAGAAAGATTTTGTAGAAGTTCAAACCAGTCAAAAAATCCTTCGGCTGACCGACATCCATCCAAAATCCCGGCAAAACAAACGCATACAATTCTCCAGCTTTCGCCATTTCCGGGAAAATTTCTTTCTCGATCGATGTTGGACGCACAGATATTCGATTGAGAACGGACGGAGAAAGGAGGTACAATCCAGCATTAATCTAAAATAATTCGCTAGCGCACGGGCTGCCCGTGCGAAGATGCGTTTTTAGCATAATTCCCAGCAGTTTTGTTGCTACCGGCACCGGCTTTTTCAGCAAATGCTTCTAGCAAAAAAAATTAAAACTGGCCATCAGAACTGTCAGGAAACATTCCCTTAAAATATCAAATTTCAAGCTTTCCTGGCTTCTGAGTTAGTAATATACTCGAAAAAAACTTCCATGAAACCGCACATGGGTACCACGCTTACCCGGGGGCTGGGTTTGAGCTCATTAATACCTACTTGGACGGGAACCATTCTCATAAGATTTCAGCCTTGTAGCTTCTCAGA